TGACACCTGGGTTCCACTCCAACCGAGCACTGCTCTGGACTGAGACACACGGGCTGGAAAAATCCGCGTCACGGTAATCTGGGCCGTTTTCGCCTCCCAGGTAAAGGTCAATGTTGTAACTGACCCAACGCTTGTCAACATACAGCTGTCAGTCCAAAAGTCGCGTTGTAACCGACCCAGTGCATACAGCTGTCAGTCATGGCGCATAGAAAGCATTTAAAACTGAAAGCTGTTTTTACACTCCGCCACCGCGCCACCAGCAAAAGTCAACTAACTAGGCGACAAGTAAAACGACTTCAGTCCACTGCAAGTGGATCATCTTCACCCTCTTCTTCCTCGCCCTGTTCACCATGTTCGCGCTCAGGCGGTTCCTCCTCCACTGGGCTAGCATCTTTGCAGCCGCGGGCCGCTGAAGCGTCTGCAGCTTGCAAAGCTTGCGCACGCATGACTTCCTGAGACTAGCGAGATCAAGAAATGTCTCTAAGGTTTTGGCTCAGAAGAGTTCAGCCAGCGAGCCACAACTATTCCAAGAAAAGTTTCGACCATAGCTTCAACGTCCGCAACAGCCACTTGATTGCGAAGCTCCTCTCGAACTGCTTCCTGGGCAGAATTCATATTCATTATATACAATTTCACGCGCTCTACGTCAAGCAAGATGTCCGCACAAAACACTGAAAATGACGCGGTCTGGGCACCACTATTTCGAACATCTTTTCCATGGGAACGCCGGGCACGTCCCTGACCTGACTCCAAGACCCGGCAAGAGAACACACCGGTCAACAAATTCAACACGCTGAGCTGAGTCAGTGTCAGGTCTACGTGTCTGGTTGATGTTACATAAAAAAAGAACATCCCCATTGCGCGCTACACGCAAAATATGGCTGAGAGTCTGACTTTCACAACTTGAGAGCCATTGACCTTCAGACCGTGAACTCCATCCCGCTTGTAGTAGCATCGGTACACTGTCGGCCTGCCATCTGACGCAGCAGCTGGGCGCTTGAAAGCCGCTGCAGGTTTCTTCCGAGCGGCCACTTCCTTTGCCGCTGCTGGCCTCTTTTTCGAGACAGGGTTTTCATCATCAACTTCGGCCTTCTCTGGTTCCGACTTTTCTGCCTTTTCCGGCGCGTGCGCAGCAGGAGGCTCAGGAGCCTTGGGAGGCTCAGGAGGCTTGGGAGACTCCTTGGCGGAAGCTTTACTTTTTCCAGCAGGCTTTGCCTTTGGCAAACCCGCCCCGCTTGCTTTCGGAGTAGTAGGCTTCGTTTTTGGAGCAGGAGTAGGCTTCGGTTTTGGAGCAGGTGGAGCGTCAGCATTGTCATCCGAAAGCTCGGTCACATCTCGAGGCAATTCAGACATCACTCCAAAAATCAAGGGTGTGAAATCAAAAGGCGTGAAATCGAAGCTGGCGGCTGCCGAATTCGTTTATTTGTGGAATAGACAGAAAAAGATTGTCAGCAACAAACATCAGTCCGCTTGTGAGACATCAGCTTGGCAAAAAATCTGGCGATTGAAAGCTCCATTTCCTTTTACCAACTCCGCATCTCGCAAAACTGCGGGTCCCAAAAAGGTCAGGAGGTAGGCCGGCCCTTTCATCACAGTCTGACTTAAAGCCAGCGGCGCAATCAAGCAGACATTGACTTTCGAAATCATGCAAATCACATGGCTCCAAAGAACTACTAATATGTATATAGCGTTTGGCAGACTGCTATGGGCCCACAAGGCCTGGTCACGCTTTCAACCAAAACGCGTGCTGCGCCTTGAGCACGCCGTTGGCGAGAAACCACATTTTGGGTTTCTTCGGCATGATGGTCGCAGGCACCCCCCGGTTGACGGCCACCTGCCATCAGCATCAAAGAGCATCTGAGTCTGATCCAATGCTAGTTGAGTAGTACTAGTCTCATTGCCCTGCCTCCCAGCATACTTGGCAAAGATCCGTTTTTGGTAGGCTGTCGTAATGATCGTGGAACGCGGCGCCCAGTTGCGTCGAGCGCATGGTGAGCGGGTCGGGGATGTCTGACAGCACATTCTTGGGCTGAAAAACTGAGATCTTGGTCTTACAGGTGAGGTCATACCTGAAATGCATGGCAGACCCGTTCTCCTCCGCCGCAAGCAACGCGCGTGAATTTGAATTGATTTTGGTTGGTTTTTGATTCTGGTTTGATGCCTCCAGTGCAAAGCACCAAAAACCCGTCCTCTTTGCTGGTCATGTTGTGGTCAGCCAAAACAACGTCCATCAATCCATGACGGGATGCATTTTGACACACTAACTCAGCAAAGGGCAAAGGAACCTTGTCATCAACCACGATCTGCTTGTCGGAGCTGATGAGAAAGGGGAGCCACTGGCTACGCTTTGAACGCGCTTCACCCGACAGCTCTGAACTGTAGCTGCCCAAGCCAAAGCCACACAACTCAGTTGGTTTGAGCTGGATGTCTTCTGTCGAAGAGTTGTTGACAAGCCACAAGTTGTAATCTTTGGTGATATACACCTCCAGCGATTGCACAGAGGTTGCCGCAGCTGCCAGAAGCCTCCGCTGAAACAAAGCACCCCTAAACCCCTGAAACCGTTCACACCGATTGCACCTCATTCAACTAGCCTACAGCATGCCAGTAGACTAGGACAAGTAACTCCTTCTGTTTGAACTCGGCCACAGTCAAAAAACACTCGGGGAAGCCAGTCAAGTCGACAGTCCGGGCCAAGTCAATGGGACGGTCGCAATCAGAAAACTGAGGCGTACAATTCAATCGGTTTGGAGTCTGGGTGGAGGGTTCAACAGTTCCGGCTTGAACGGCCATGGGAAGCCTGAGGCGCCACAATCACTAGTTGCCACAATCTGGATTGTTTTCTGCAAGCATTTCCTAACAACTAAGTTTTTGCAGTCCAGACACTGAAGCTCGTTGTTTTGGACTGCCAAGAGTTCCAAAGTTGGGCGATCGGTGTTTGAGGAAGTTTGTGGTCTCTGTTTGGGGCCAGCTTCAGGGATGCAATCCCACCACTCCTGAGGTAAAGCAACGTCACTCGTTTCCATCAACTACTCATTGTAATTGTTTGGCAACAACACAGGCACCCTTAAGAGTCCTGCATCATTCGACCCATCATTGACGAGGGCAAACGTTCACAGACCGGGTCCAACTCATTCTCCGGCGCCACCATAAATCCAAGGTAGTGGAAAATGGGGCCAGGCGTGTTGGTGTCCAAGAGAGCCTTCTTCTGATTGGACCAAATGGTTTCTCCCCATTCATTGTACCTGCTGTTTGCAAACGCGTCCACTGTATTTGACTGAGTGTCGGCTGAACTGTGAACGCGCGCCTGTTGACGAGAAAGTCTGCCACCAAAACTCAGCAGTGAAAGCGAAGCCAGAAAAGATAAAATCGATGATTTGCCCGCAGGACTCGGCGCCTCTTTGCATAGCCTTGAGCTACAAGGAAGCAAGAGTGGTCACAACAATTGAATTTAATTTTACAGAATGACACAGGCAAACCACACAGACTGCAGCTTGGTAACGCGCTGAGATGGAGACAACGGTTTCTGTTCTGGGTCTAAATTCTGGAGCTGGTTGATTCTGCATCTGTCGACTGGCCCAATCCTGCCCATGAAAGCCTTGCTCTTATGCCAAATTGACTTTTCGTGCGTAGGCCCCAAGCACACCCAGCCTCGGCGACAATTGGGCAAAGGCTATGTCGGCAAGCTCAAATGGTGGTCAATGCGGTTCCGACAACTGAGCTTCCAAATTTCTAGTTTCTGCAAACGCTGGGCCCATCGCATGTCTGAGAGTTTTTCCTCTTGTCATTTCCATGGGCCTGCTCGTTGTAGAACAAGGTGGACTCGCACATGTCAAAGGACCTGAACTGATACTGGGTCTTGCCACGTGCAAATTCAAATGACGGCGAGCAGCAAAGAAAACTGCAAGCTCAGCATCAGGCCCAATCAGCAAGTCTTCCAGGAGCCGCTTCTTCTTCAAAACGGCTTCCGCCGTGACATTCTGGTGGCTGACAGGGCCTAAAGCCAGCAGCAAGGCGTTCTCGTTGCAATTACAGATGCCTGCAGCCACAGCCAAGCAGTCTTGGATGTAGTGTCCTCCTGGGAAAGAAACTGCAAATGTTATTTCATGAGTCATGAACTTACACGCAGCTTTACCATGTGCATTTCGTCGGAAGGTTAAATGAACGAACATGATGAATTGATCGAGGCGCTGCTCGGCCAGGTGGTCGCGTCAAGAATCAAAAGGATTGGCCTAGGTTTCACGCGTGAGAAGAAGGTGCAACTCACTTCTATCAATTCAACCCATCTTGGAAAACAAATGCGCGGCCGAGGTACGGCTGGTTTGTACCGAAACGTCCACTGATTCTTTGGATCTCTGCTGGTCCAGCAAGGAAATTCTCGCCGGTGATGTAACGGTGGCTCTTCGCGGAAAAGGCGTTCACTTTCTCCTTGCCTTTTTCAAACCTAGTGTGCAGATACTGAACCGAAAGGCCGGCTTGACGATTGCTCTCCTCCTGAAGTTTCTCTGCCCAACTCGTCAGGTTTGCAAGCTCGATGTCAACCTTGGCTACCTTTTTTTTTGGTATCGAGCTGATCTATGTGTTCTTGGAGCTGTTGGGCTTCTTGTTCCTTCTTTTCGTCCAAAGCCCGACGATATTTGAACATCACAGAGCGAAACAGCGTGATGGATTCTATCTGGCATGGGGGAACAGTAACCTCCAGGAGCTTCAGCAGGTCTTGGTCCAAATGCTTGCTCATGAACCTGAGCCAAAACGCGACAAGTTCCTGTTGTTCGCCATGGTAAAAAATTGGCACAGGGAGAAACCATGCTCAGGCAGCGCACGATCGATCCAAATCAGGCTTCTCTTTCTCGTAGAACGACTCTGGCACTTTGCCGCGCAAGTTGGCCAAAGCAGCTTGGTAAGCACCGGACACCCGCAGCAACTGTTCCTGAGGACCGGCCTACTGCAACACTTGGAATACAAAGTTTCGTTCAATTGTTTCTGACCCTAGCCTTCATTGTTCACACGAAGTTGTATTTAATATAAGGCTCGATATCTTTGCATTGGTATGGTTTCCTCAACTTGGCTGGGGCGTCGTCCCAATCCTTCTCCATGCGGCTTAGGGCTAGCATCACCAGGTCTGTGTTGTTGATGAGTGAGCCTTCCCAAGGAGAAAAAACTCCAGTACCTGCATTGAAGTTCCTGTTGAAATATCCGGACGCCAAAGGTTCGTGGGTAACGAAGCGGATCATGGAGCACTTCCTGGTGCCATAGGGCGCTGCCCCAACTAGAAAGCTAGACTTTCAACGCCAGCAAGTTTCTGTGAGACTACACAGTAAACAATGAAACATAATTCCAACATCCCAGGAACGTGCATAGTTCCATAAGCTTTGCACTCACGGCGGCATCCACCGAAGAGAGAAGATTGAAACAAGCCTTGGCCTCCTTCTCACCAATCTGGTACGCGGTCTGAAATTGACTGGCGTCTTGCCAAATCTGGCAAACAACATGTTAAACGCAAGGCGTGGCAAATTGAACCTGCAGCGCACAGCTAAAAAACTAACACGAACATGGCCTTCTCGAATTTTTCTGCACCAAAAGCCGACACCAATCGCGCTTGATGGAGAAGGTTGAAGGCATTGGGTTTCTTCCTCAATGAACTCCCCATTGTGATGCCTAGGCGGAATACCCTCAAACTATTTAAATCACACCCAACAAGCAGCGTTTCGATCTCCCCAAGGAACCTGCCTCTGTTCTGAGCGGCCAATGCCGCTAGCCCATCAGGAGCACATGAAGCAGTTTGAACTGTGCCGTGAATGACGGCAAATGTCCTCATTATGGAACCAGCCGTGTGTGAAATCCACCACCGTGTAAACTCGCGCTAGCTGAGGTCACTGCTGTTTGACATCTGGCATCAACACCTGGAACCACGTCAGTGGCAGGGTTTTGTGAAGGTTGGACTGGCAAAACCTGCTGCGTTCCAACAAAGACTAACTATCAAATGGTTGAATGCATTGCAAAAACATGGCAGCCTTGTAGAACTCAGCTTCTTCAAAGCAATGGGCCATGACACACAACGCTGCGAAGCAGCGTGTCCATCCTTTCACCATGAGAAGACCCATAGGTGGATATACATCAGACATAATGCCATCCGGCAGAATGTCACTGACTGACAATTTTGGTCGCGAATCACACATAGGTGGGATGGGTCTGGACACACAAAGTTTCTCCACACCGCCCACAGAGGCGTCGGTGTTGAACCTCAAAGCATCCAAAAAACAAAAGCAAAAACAAAAAGTGAATTGGACAACTGCGCATAGATAAGGGGCAGGCCCACAGCCAACAATGAGCTCCACCAGTTGCACCAACAAGTCCTTTGTGTGATAAACAAATTCCGGTCACCAATCTCGACACTTCTAGAATGACCTTCCAAGGCCCAAGCTGGGTCGCAAAGACCTCTGAACCCGCTGTCGGTTTTGTATGTCATGTGGTAGGGGCGCAGGTAGACAGCTGCGCCAGTTTCTGACAGCTGCTCGGAAGTCACGAATTTCCTCAACAACAAAAGCAGTCACATTTCTTGGCACTGAAAAAGCAAAAACATAGAGGCTCCAGCACACTAGCAGGCGCTGGAAAGGACACGTCCAAAAAGGTCAGGAACTTCTTGAGCGCATCCTGGCAATGAATCCAAACCCATATACACTGAACGCGAATTCAACAAGCAACCTGCTGGCAATTGTCCTCTTTGGGTTGGCCAGGGTCGGTACAAACAGGGGTTTAAAGTTTAAGCCCCTGTTTGTACCAACTTGGGCCCGCCCCTGGTCAACCCAAGAGGAAAATTACCACAACCTGCTGTCCTCTTCCTTGAAAGTGTCTTCAAAGTACTTGTGCATCGACGAGTGTTTCTCCATTTTCAAAAGCCTGAAAAGCTACCAGCAGGACCCGGAACTACTTGAACTCTGAACTCTGAATTAAGACGCTCAGGCTGGAACA